CAACCACTTATTTACTGTCTCTTAAGATTTACCCATTCTGTATAGGTCACCTAAGTGAAATCATATCCTATGTGGTGTTTTATGTCTGGTTGCTTTTGCTCAGCCTAGTATATTCAGAGTTCACCCAGGCTGTAGCATGTGTCAGGACTTATTTCTTTTTATGAATATTATTCTATTGTTATAGCTATATCAACTTTGTTTATCCACTCATTAGTTAAACATTTGGGTCGTTTCCATCAGCAGCTATAATGCATACTGCTGATGTAAATACTCGTGTACGGATTTCTGTGTGGACACGTTTTCAGTTCTCTCCGGTATATACCTAGGAGTAGAATTGTTGCATCCAATGCTACAGATATGTTTCTTTCCTCCCCCTACTAGATTACAAACATCCCCAGGGCAGAGTTTGAGGCATTTGTCTCCTGGCCCAGACCATGTACATGGACATTCATTAAATGTTCATTGCCTGGAATGAATAAGTGGATGATATTTGCAGTTCTAACATGGAGCATGAGGATTTGGACGACTGGACAGACAGCATGAATAAAATGAATCTTTTCAAAAAACTCAAATCATGAAAATTCTTTTTTTTTAATTACAGGCAATCTTGACAATGACAAGTAGAATTGCAAAATATACTTCTCAGAACCCCAGCATCCCTTCTGTAAAATGAGAGAAACTGTATCTTATGGAGTTGTTGTCTTAAAATTGTTTTCCATCTGAGGAGACCTCAAATGGCTGGCACCCAAACTAACACTATATAGCTGGTTAAATTCAGTATGATCTCTCACCTACAAACCAATCCCAGCTTCGGCCTTTTGTGAAATCTTGTCTAGCTTTAACCTTGAAAAGATGGGGTTTTCATTTCACCTTCAGCTCTGTCTTTTGCTGCCCATAAAATTATTAGGCATCTGTCTACATTCATGATATCAAAGCTGTTAGTTTAGCAAGCGGAAAGAGGTGACTGACTAAGCTAGTGACTCTTGCTCTCAGGTAAGAATCAGAAATGCCGATCTTGAAACGGGAGGCGGAGCAGAGCTGCCTGGGAGCGACCGAGCGGGCCACCGCTGCTGCCATGAACCCCAAATATGACTACCTTTTTAAGCTGCTTTTGATTGGTGATTCGGGTATGGGCCAGTCATGCCTGCTTCTGCAGTTTGCTGATGACACATACACGGAGAGCTACATCAGCACCATCAGGGTGGACTTCAAGATCCAAACCAACTAGCTGGATGGCAAAACCATCAAACTTCAGATCTGGGACACAGCTGGTCAGGAGCGGTTCCAGACCATCACTTCCAGCTACTGCTGGGGGGCTCATGGCATTATTGTGGTGTATGATGTCACCGACTAGGCCAACGTGAAGCAGTGGCTACCTGAGACTGAACGCTATGCCAGTGAGAACATCAATAAACTCCTGGTAGGCAATAAGAGCGATCTCACCATCAAGAAGGTGGTGGACAACACCACAGCCAAGGAGATCGCAGATTCTCTGGGCATCCCCTTCCTGGAAACAAGTGCCAAGGATGCTGCCAATGTTGAGCAGGCATTCGTGACCATGGCTGCTGAGATCAAGAAGCGGATGGGGCCTGGGGCAGCCTCAGGGGGTGAGCGGCCCAATCTCAAGATCAACAGCACCCCTGTGATGCCAGCTGGTGGCGGCTATTCTAGGAGGGGCACCTAGGGTGGGACAGGAGGGGGCACCTTCTCCAGATGATGCTTCTGGAGGGGACAGGAGGTGCCCCCCTCTCCTGGGGCATTTGAGTCTGCGGCTTTGGGGTGTCCTGGGCTCCCCATCTCCCTCTAGCCCATCTGCCTGCTGCCCTGAGCCCTGGTTTTGTCAAGGTCCTCAAGGGAGGATACCCAGGACCTTTGACTGGGGTGGGGATGTGAGCTTGCTCTGCTGCTGCCTCTAAGTAACTTTAAAAGATACCCCACCACACACCTTTCTTTGAGATGAGGGCTCCTCTTTCCCTCCTTTGCCCCCCTATGTATGCTCAGTGGGTTTCTCTCATCCTTTTCCATCTCCACCCCATCTCTTCCCCAAGAGCTGGGAGCCTCCCTGGCCTCTATAGTCCCTGGCTGCAGTCAGCGTCAGGGGCCAGGAATGGGACCAGGGGATCCAGGACTCAGGATCCAGGGTCCTGGGCTGGACCTCAGGAAGGGCATGGGGGCCACAGGGGCCCAGCAGCCCACCTTTTCCTCTCCTCCCTGACTCTCCTCCCTGCCCCTTCCATACTCACAGCTCCAGCTGTCCAGCTGCAGTGGAGTCTGAGCACATCTAGAGCAGATGGGCGGGCAGCCATGCTGGGCCTGTGGCTTGAGCCCAGAGGGAGCCTACTCCTGCCACCCCCTGCCATGCCAGAGCCAGGCCCATGTGCTGCCTGTCCACCGTGCCCCTTTGTCCTCAAGGCAGGCAAAGGCGGAAGGCCCACTGTGCTAGAGGCCGGGCATCAGCCTTAACCCTCACTCTGCCAGCACCTCTTCCCTTTCCCTGAGGCAACACATCTGGCTTATTTTCTTCCTTCTGTTTGGAGCCTATGAAGGCAGGTCCTCATACCCTGTCACTATTTCTCCTCTGGGGAATGTGGGTGCAAATCCAGGGTTGGGGGCCTCTCCCCTCACCCCCTCCCACCCAAGATCCTAGCCCCATGCCCTCTGGCATAGCTTCTTCCTGCAGAAAAACAAACTTTTGGTCTCAACCTGAGAAGCCATGTCCCTTATGCTATCTCTTGTCTGTCCCACCTGTGCCCTGCCCTCCAGCTTGTATTTAAGTCCCTGCGGTGCCCCTCACTCCCAGGTTCCCCTCTGGTGTCATGTCAGGCATTTTGCAAGGAAAAGCCACTTGGGGAAAGACAAAGGACAAAAAATAAATTTCCACTGGCCCTTGGGTGAGCTGAGGGTTTTTGCAAGGGGGGAAAAAAAGAATTAGAAATGCCACCCTACTGGGGTACCTTGGGTGGCACAGTTTAGTTAAGCATCTGACTCTTGGTTTCAGTTGGGTCTGATCTCAGGGTCATGAGATGGAGCCCCCGCATGGGAGTCCAAGCTCAGTGCAGAATCTGCTTGAGTTTCTCCCTCCCTCTGCCCCTATGCCCCGCTCTATCACTCTCTTTTTCTCTCTCAAATAAATATTTTTTAAATGCCACTCCACCAGTTCTGCTTGGCAACATTCCCCCATCTCTGTGGTGAGTTGTGTCCACCACGCTGCACACTCCATATCTGGGGAATTAGACTCTTGCCCTCATTGAGGGGCATGGTCAGTCTTTTTAGAACATAGTTTGTCTATTGTTTAGATGTCAAATAGACTCAGTCTGTCTATGTCCTTTCAGAGTGTGATTCTTGAGGTCATTTGGGGATAAAAACCAAGTGAGGGAGTATAGTATATTACATATACTGTTATGTTAAGAAACAAAATGGGCAACTAGTTAAATACTTTAATGATGGGTTAAATTTTGCTGATTATGATTATTTCCACACAAAACCAAAATTGAAATGACAGACTCTCCAAATTTCAGAATATGAACACATTTTAATTACTTTCGAGTTTAGGTACAAAACTCAAGCTAGGAATAGACAAAAAATCACCTACGTTAGTCTCGCTTTGCTGACTGGATAACAATATGTGATTAATACATCAACTCAAAAATCTAAAAATTGCTACCCTCAGCCTATGTATTATTTTTATAAATGAAAGAGAGTTCTAGAACATTTGAAATTTTCTAACCTCATGAACTGGCTCCCCCCAAATTATTCTTATCTTGCTTACACTATTAATTTGTTTATTACTCCCCTTCTTTTAATAAACAGAGCAGAGGGGATGTCCTCATTTCCTGTTTGTGAGCAAATCCCCAATTAGCACTGTGAGAACTACTGAGTTTTATTGCAAGACTCAACAAGACTCTAAAGGTTCCCAATTTGTGGTGGCATTTGAGAATTCACAGATGTGCCGCCCTCTGGGCGATTACCAACAGCTGAATCTTACAATGGCTTCTCACCCCAATGCACCCCCACCCACGGCCTCCAAGAATCACAACCAGCACACTTGCAGCCCCATCCCTGAGGGGCTGAGGACACGGTTTGTTATGTGCAACCAGACTCTCTTGGGAAAGGTAGCCGTGTCTGTGTCACCATCATAGAAAGACCTAGAACTAAGTGAGGGCTTTGAAGACCAGCCTTCCCGCTCTTTACCACACTTCTTGCACCCTACACTGTGAGTGGAGATGTGAGCAGGGACAAGGCTGACCTAGACCAGAGTTTAAGGACAGTTTCACTGTAATCTTTTACCAGTTATTACCGTTGTTGTTTTTCCATTAGAAGAGAGGGGAAAAACAGTCAAGAGAAATATGGGTGTGTATAGTTCTTGAAATCCAGAGGTTCAGATGGAAAAAAAAAATCTATCAAAAATGTCCCTAGGACAAAGCTTGGCAAAATAAATAGCTTTTTTTTTTAAAGATTTTATTAATTTATTCATGAGGGACACAGAGAGAGGTAGAGACACAGGCAGAGGGAGAAGCAGGATCCCTGCAGGGAGCCAGATGTGGGACTTGATCCCAGGACCCTGGGATCCACCCTGAGCCAAAGGCAGAGGCTCAACCACTGAGCCATCCAGGCGTCCTTTTTTCTTAAAAAAAGAAGAAGAAGAAAAAAAACCTGAACTTCGTAACAGGAGAAATTTTCTCACAAGGAGAGGTTGTTCCTGAGCCAAGTTGAAGCAGAGGAAAATTTTTCCAGCATGTCAGGAACTAAGCTGACGTTCCATTAAGAACAAAAAAAAATAATTTTTTAAAAAATGTGCTAATGGAAAGCATCAGCGGAAACCAGAGTCCAGACGGAGCTTGAAGCTGCCGACGGGGCGCGGCGGGGAGAGCCCACGGAAGGCCGGCGCTGGAGGGAGACGCGGGCCCGTCTCCCCGGAGCTCCCAGCCCCCGTGGACATTTCCTGTTCTGCCTCTGGAAGTTCAAGCCAAAAATGACAAAACATCCTTTTCCCTCTGACC